GGTTGTTAACAACAATAAAATTCAGTATAGGGGGGTCAATGCTCAATGTACAATCATTAATCCATCTCAAGCCTAATTCTCGTCAGTCTCCAATCTTCTGAAGCATAACGAACAAGTTCTTACATGGTGAACGAATTCTTACATAGTGAATAAATTCTTACATGGTGAACAGTACAAGGGCATTCATCACAGAAACTTTCGGTTTTGATCACACATTATGAACTATAAACAATCAGGTCAAATATGAATATTCGTTTTATTTTTATACTTGATTTATACGTGGATCCCCCATTTCTCCCTTTATTATTATTATTATTTTTATTTTTAATAAAATGCTGAAGTGGTAGGTAGATGCAAGATAAAGGTAGAAAACATAGTTTAGTGCTGTAAGAGGGCAAATGTAGATGATCAGGTGTGTGCCTATGGACTAAGTATTATTCATTGACTTTTAATGCCTAATGAAAGGCTTCAGCTTCCAATAGGCCCAACTCCCAGGTAGCTTTCTAAGGAAAAGAATTAAGTGCTCCATCAAAGTTTATTGAGCACCTGTTATGTGTTACCTGGGGAGAGTTCAGTAAACAATGACTGCTTCTTAATGCTTCAGATACAGTCCAGGTGCTGACTGCCTGTCTGTCCATTTCCCCTCCACCCCACCAGGCTCCAATGACCCCAGAGCAGCTCCGGGCTGTGGAGGGCACTGTGCAGGAGGCCGTGGGGCAGGATAAGGCCGTGTACATGGAGGAGGTGGCCCTGGCACGTACCGCCCATGTCCCGGGGCTGCGCTTTCTGGATGAAGTGAGTTGTGAGAGCCCCCTTGGGAGAGATCGCCTGTCCCCCTGCCACCAGGCCAGTTAACAGACCTATGCCCTCTCCCTGTCAGGTATACCCAGACCCTGTGCGGGTGGTGTCAGTGGGGGTGCCTGTAGCCCAGGCACTGGGCCCAGGCTCCCAAGCTGCGCTGCAGACCTCTGTGGAGCTGTGCTGTGGGACGTGAGTTCCCCCTACCTGCCCTGCTTCTGGGGCCCTGGAACCTCACCCTTCCTTGGTCTTTGGAGCCACCACCCCCTTGTTTGGAACTCAGGCTCTTTTCTCTCCCATCAGCCCTCTGACATCGTCCTTCCTCCCTCTGCCCACAGGCACCTGCTACGCACAGGGACAATAGGGGATATGGTCATCATCGGGGAGCGCCTGCTCACCAAGGGCATCACTCGCCTGCTGGCCATCACTGGGGAGCAGGCCCAGCAGGTCAGCCAGCCAGCAGGCCCAGGAGGCTGCTAGGCATGGATGGGGGCCGGGGGGGCACATTCAGGCTGGGGGGTGCCCAGCAGCAGACCCAGTATTCACACGGTGCTCTGATGTGGCCATCTGTACCAGCTGCTGGCAGCTGGCATCTGTGATGATTATTTGGTGCCTTGATTGGTCCTGATTATTAAATATTTCTCTCTGGACCCCGACCAGCAATGGGTTGAGAGCCCATTTGGGGAGTAAAAGTTAAGCCAAGCAGCTCTGACATCCTTTTCCTTCTTGGCAGGCCCGAGAGCTAGGCCAGAGCCTGGCCCAGGAGGTAGAAGCAGCTGCAGAGCGGCTGAGTCAGGGCAGCCGGGAGCTGGTGGAGGCGCAGCGACTGTCCAAGGACATTGGGCGACTCACTGATGTAAGGGCCACTCCCACCTCTGTTTTCCCTGTTTCCTTCCCCATGCCTTCCCAGACCCATCCAGTCTCTCCCCAGCTTTCCTGTTGGACTCCAGCTTGCCCAGATGTTTGTTGTTTGTCTGCAGGGCTGAATGTGGTAGACGGGCTCGTCTGCTGGCCTTGCTGGGCCCGGCCTCAGAGGCTGTGGCTCAGGGAGGAGCAAGAACGATGTGCTGCTTCTGCCCGTAGGTCTTGGATAACGCCATGATGCCCCAATGGCAGCGGCGAGAGCTTCAGGCCACACTGAAGACAATGCAGCGGCGTGCCAACACTGCCATCCGGAAGCTGGAGATGGGACAGGTAAGAGGAGGTTCAGCTGCACCCCTGGGGGCAGATGCCAGGCACACCCAGCAAGGGTCAGGGACACTCCAGCATGAGCACTAAGAAGCCTCAAGGCCTGGCGTGGGGGTGGGTGGCAGCTCCTCCCTCTCCCGCCAGCTGGTGCCATTACTGAGCCGTTCCCCCACTTCTCTCTCAAACTGTCTCTCCCCTAACTCCCAGTCTGGCTCAGACTCTCCCTCCAGGAAGCAGAACGACCTGATTGGCCATTCAACCTGAATTGTTCCTTGGTGTGGCTCTTTCCTCCCACCCCTGCTTCTCCATCTGTGCTCCGGCCTTCATCCCTTCACCATCAGCGGCCTATCTGTGGGGGCCTGGAGCTATGATGAAAGGGAAGAGTGGAGTGAGGAGTTGAAGAACCCAAAAGGAGCCATTCCAGGCAGAACCCTTGGCAACCTGCTCAAAGCTGAAGGCCTTTGCTGGGGGAGGGGATTTCTGCATTGGGGCTCAGGTCAGAAATGAGGGACCAGTTGCCTCCCAGCCTGACCCTTTTGCTGTCCTTCTTTCCTGCCCAATAGGCTGCACAGAAAACCCAGGAGCTGCTACGGCAGCACTCAGGGGCGCCTCTGATTGTGGACACAGTGTCCACTGAGTCCCTCTCAGTGAGTTGGCATGGAGTCTGAGAAGGGGACATCCTGGCAGGGGGTGGCTGGGAACCCAGGGAGCCGGGGGCTCACCATCTGTGCCCCTTTGCCCAGGTGCTGGTGAAGGTGGTGCGGCAGCTGTGTAAGCAGGCACCCCACACATCCGTGCTCCTCCTCAGCCCCCAGCCCCTGGGGCATGTGTTGTGTGCCTGTCAGGTGGCCCAGGTGAGGAGAGTGGGGGAGCAGCCCCACCCCGCCAACCTCAGTTCAGCTCTCTGATTCCATGCCTTTATTCTCCCAAACAAGGGAACTGGGGCTGGGCAGGGCCATCTGGACAATACCACAGGATGGGAGTGGGGTCATCTCCTTGTCCCTAGCCACTCCGTCACAACGTGTAGCAGAGAAAAGACCATGATTCCCCAGTTACCGCCCCCCACCCCCCACCCGTCCAGTCCAGCCCTTGCAAACAACTAATAGACACTCATCAACCTCCACTCACATTCCTAGCCTAAACCTCTCCTGTTTCCTCACCCGATGCCCCAGCCATGTGCCTGGCCAGGAGCTGGTAGGGGTGCCAGTCGCCCTGACTGCACTCTCGAGGGTACATTAAGTAAATGATGGCAGGGAGAGCTGTTCTGCATCACTGCCCCTTCTGTTTCTGTCCCCAGAGTGCTACAGCAGCCTTCACAGCAGAGGCCTGGGCGCTGGCTGTATGCAGCCACATGGGGGGCAAGGCCTGGGGCTCTCAGGTCGTGGCCCAGGGCACCGGAAATGCTGCTGACCTGGAAGCTGCCCTCAGTACAGCCCGAGCCTATGCCCTCAACCAGCTCTGACCCAGGCCTGCCCAGGGAATGCTGTGGACTAAAGAGACAGGCCAGTGCCAGGAACCCTGAGGAGCCCGCAGAACCTCCCCTGAGGTGGGAACAGAGGACTAGAGTCTGCAGGCCAAGCAACTGAGCCAAAGAGGACTGCCTTGGCCTGGGCCCTGTGTGGACACAAGATTTGGGCTGCAGAAGGCAGAAGGGGACCCAGAGACACAACCCTACTAGGGGGATGTGAAGACATGGGCTCTTCTGGCCGTGACTGCTCATTAAAAAGTATTTCACAGAGGACAGGAAGCTCCAGAAGGCCTTTTAAAAAGAGCAGCCTTTCCCCATCTTGGCAACCTGGCATGGGTGCCCCATCACCCGTCTGACCCCTCACACTGGGCTGAATCCCACCCAGCAGCCACTTCAGAACTGTCTCATCGCCACAAGTGCTCAGACAGGCTGGCTGTACCAGCCTGTTTTGGGCGCCTGCAAAGGCCTCCCTGGCCACCAAGATCCAGAACTGTCATGTGAAAGTCATGACAGCTGGGCAGATCCTCTCTGGTGTCACTTCGTTAACAATGACCTCGTTTTAACGAAGGCCCTAGTGAGTTGTTGGTAAAGAGAATAACGGATAACTGATCAGTTGTTGGGAAAGCGGTGAGAACCAAGGGGACAAAACTCCCTGCCCGGTTGGTTGGGAAACAGGCAGTGAAGAGAGAGAGGAGGGTGTCAGGTGGTGATAAGGTCTGTGAAGAAAGAATGGGACCAGGGACTGGGGGTGGGGGTGGCCTTACTGCGTCACTGAGAGGTGGCATCTGAGGGGAGGGTGTGGGCCACCTGGCTATCTGAGGGAACAGCCAGTGCAAAGGCCCTGAGGGGGAGGTAACCAGGCACAATGAGCTGGGAGAATAGCAGGTGATTGGGTCAGAAGAGCTGGGGCCAGAAAGCCCACTCAAAACGAATTGTCCAGCAGCCGCCCCGAGCCTGAGCTGAAGCTGAACATGGGCAGCTCGGAGCAGGGGGCGGTTGAGAGGTGGAGAGCAGCCCTCCTTCCCTACCACTGTGAATTTGTACAGGACCCAGTCAAAAGCTGGAGCCCCACCTCTGTTCCCAATCTCTGTTGCTGGATGAAGGAAAGGACCTCCAGGGACTCAAGTCAAAGGCTCCCTGACTACGAAGTTCTAGAACCGTTAAAATTATTAGAGCAGGCCCCACTGGTGTTGTCTCCTGCACAACTACTCACTCTCATTGAGGCACCCCTGGAAGGGCCCAAATCCCGAGTGCCTGGACTCTGCCCACTCGCTCAGGCCTGCAGGGTGGCAGAGCTTTTCTTACCTCGGCATCTTGGCAACTGCATCAGCAGCTACCGTTCAGTGGTGTCACAGAATGCCCAGCCCCTTTTACACGTGGCCATATGAGTTTTGTGCCCCTGATTTATCTGAGCTCCTGAGGTATTAACTTATACAGTGACCAACTAGTAATCTTCAGCAGAGCTGAAATTAAAGCTAAACTCCACATTCTTATGCAACGTCCCACTACCCTGGTTGCCCCTCTCCTGAAGGACAGTTTCTTACTAACCAACCCGCGAAAGTTGGCCATTTCTGCCTCTCAAGCTTAGGGCTTAATGAAGGAACTCTGAGGAGGCCTGGAACCTTCTGCCAGGTGGCAGACATCAGCCCTGTTTACATCCTGGAGGAAGGTGGCAGGCGCCTCTGCAGGGATGGGCAGCCCACAGCTCTCCTGTAGGCTTAGATCAACGGGAGGCCTCGGCAGTCCCAGGTGCCCTTTGGCCTTCATCTTCCAGTAAAGGATGACTGCTTGCTGATGTCTTCGTGGACTTCTTTCCACTCACCCCCTCCAGCCCCAGTGCCACACAGAGGTGCCAAGGAGGAACAGCACTGTAGTCTACGAGCCCTGCCCTAGACCCCGACTCCACCTTCCCCCAGAAAAGCCCACCCATTCCTAAACCTACCCCAGAAACAAAGCATGCCACGAGGTTCCCACCCCGCACGGCAGCCCCCCGCAGCACACGAGAAACGTCTGTGCATCAGCTCCAAGTCAAGGCGCGAAGCGACAACCATCTCAGGACAGCGCTGCGAGCTTGCGCAGCCCCCCGCGGAGACGCTGTGCACGCGCAGGCGGTGTCGCTCTCAGGCGCTCGGTCCCCGGACCCGCCCCTGACGACACGGGGCGTCCCTAACGACAGCCACGGCGCTGGGGGACTGCGGGAAGGTGAGCGCCCAGGCACCGGGAGCGGGTGAGGCGACCTCCGGGGCTCCTTTCGGGCTGAACTCTCCCTGGCCCCACTCCCGCCCGCAGGGCCCGGAAGCCCCTTCAGCGCCCTCAGTTCGCAGGTGGCTACAGCCCTCGCTCCCACGTGTGGTGGGGAAAGGCGGTCTGGTCTGTACCAACAGGAGGCCGCCAAACCCCCACCCATTTGAGACGGAACCTGTGCCTCCTCACCCTCTACAGCCACTGTCTGCAAACTGCCCCCAGAGGCTTAGGGTCTTCGAGGAAGGGAAGGGGGACAGTGAGGAGGAGGAAAGGGGAGAGTGGGGCATCGGATTGGTCACGGAAGACAAGTCTTGAGCCCCGGAGGCTCCATTCTTCTCAGGAAGTCTGATCCCCGTCCGCAGCTCCTGCAGGCAGCTATCCCTCCTGCAGATCCAGAAGCTTCTGCACCTCCCTCCCTCCCTCTGCAGGGCCGGTTTCGCTTGGTCACCAAGGAGACTCCAGGGTGGCTTCACCCCAGGGGGTTGGGGGAGGGACTCCACTGGCCTTTGGAGCTGAGCTCCTTTGCTGGAGTGTCTGAAGTAAAGGTAGGGATAAGGGGTGGGGAGTGAAGTGGGGCTCCTGGAGTCCTTTGTAAGACAAGTGACCTAAGGGGGCAGAAGTTAGGCCCAGGGGGGTGTTAAGTGTGCTGTTTCACCGTGCCAAAAACCAAATATACTGGTCTTGGGCTCCGTGAGAGAAACATTTTGCCCCTCTTTTGTGATTCCACAAACAGGATTCCCAAATGGGAATTTGGGAGTAACTTGGCCTGAGATAGGGTCTGACATGTGGGCATGAAGAGAAAAGGAGAAATGTAGACAATAGCCCAGGGCCCTGAGAACAGATGCCTGGGAGGGCTCTCCTGCAGGGATCCTGGGACAAGGAGAAGCTGGCTGAGAAGGCAGAGACAGCACAGAGAAGTGGGTGGACAATAGGGGGATATTGGGGGGCAACTGTGTTGGCATCTCATCAAAGCCAAGCCAGCCCAGAGTGTACAGGGGCACAGAGGTGCTCATGAGTCTACAGAGGGCCAAGCACTTCAGCTTTTCAGTTAAGAGGAAGGGAGGTGAGGGCACCTGGGGACCAGGGATGTGACGAACAGGAAGGGAGAGGCCCCCCACCACCTTCAACTTTCCCGTTTGGGCAGGTGGGAAGAGCTGCTGCCCACAGTTTAGATTTAGCTGTGCAGGATGGAGAAGGTCTGAGACCTCAGAGGAGAATGTGCTGGAGATTCAAGCATTGAATCCTAGATCTACGAGAAACATTGATGGAGTGAGCCTCGGGGCAGGAGGGCACAGCTCTGCAGTATGCTCTTGGGTGTCCCTGGAGTCCCAAGCCGAAGGATTTAGGTGACAGTCCAGTTTTGCAGAAGGATCCCATGCTTGGCAGCTGTCTGGCAGGTGGGGGAGCCTGGGCTGTTTAGTCCAGCCCCAAAGACTCACTGATTCTGGAACAATTTAGGAAGCCACCCCAATGTATTCTTTTCCTATGCTTCTGTGTATGGAAGACAGGGAAGGCTTTGGACAGATAACAACTAGACCTGGGCTTCACCATTTACTAACCATGTGACAAATTACTTAAGCTTTCTAAGCTTCTGTTTCCTCATTTGTGAAGCAGGGGTAATAGTGTTATAATAACAGTAACAATCCTCAATCATAAATTCAAGGATTTAGTAAACTTATGTAGGTAAAGTTTATCTTCATCATAATATCTAACCCATATCTTGAATGTTAGCTCTGGGCCAGCATTATATGAAATGTTTCACACACATTAGCTCCTTTATTCCTCTGAATCATCTTATCAAGTGGATAACATTAATTACCAGCCCCAGTTTATGGATAAAGAAATGGAGGCTTCTCGGGGTTAAATGACTTGCCCGGGGTCTCAGATGTTAGGGGCAGAGCAGATTTGTATGTTGGAGTTAATTTGTATGCCTCCTGAGTCCTTGGGAAGCTGCTATGCTGCCTCCTGCTGTGCATATGCTATTGAGAGCCCAGAACTCCATAAATTGTAGCTATAGGCAAGGATATGGGTCCCAGAACACTTGTCCACCAGAAACAATCCATCAAATATGAGGACAATTCTGGCCAAACTGGGGCATCCTGCTACTTTAAATTACTTCATGTGTGGGCATGTAAAGAGCAGACCTTAACACCTGACCCTTTGAGTTATGGCCTGCCTGTGATTTCAGGACGCTCATCCTAAGGACACAGAGTGGGGACCTGGGGGAGGAGGATAGGCCTTTCCCCAGGGATTGTGGTCCTGGGCTGGGTTAGGCTGTTGGAGACACAGCAGGTGGAGCCCAACAGGCCCATGAGACAGGCATCAGGAGATGAAAGGTCACTGGGCATGTCCTCACTTTCTCCTTCTGAGGGCAGGGTGTGCCCTTAGATGGTGACACCAGGTTGTGGCACAAGAGGCAACCACTCCCGATGGCCCCAACCTTGTCTCAGGAATGTCAGAGAGTATTCCTGCCCCAGAGAAGGGCTGGAGGCCTTGAACATGCTTCCAGTCTTCAAACTCTGGGATTCTCTGATGGCCCTATCGGTTCCCCCAAGGACAGAAGGCTCTAGAAGGGAAGGTGACTGCTCTGCCACTTCTAGGGCTGCCCTCTATAGGCCCCTGGATTGTCTGGATGCTCCTGGGTCCCTTGGCTAATGGGTATCTACTCATTCCCCCAGACTTCCCAGGAAGGTAGTGGCACTTACTGCCACCCTCAGCTGCAGATTGGTGATGCCCAGGCTTGATCAAGGCCACCCTGTGAGGTAGCTGGAGTTATCTCAGGTCTCCTGCCTTCTAATCCTGCGAGCCCTCCCCACCTTCTGCCCACTCAGTGGTACATTTTTCTTGCCCCTTTCCTAGCTTTGCTTTTTGGATCTGAAACTCATTCACACTGAGGTGTGGATGACTAATAAGAGGGGATATATATATATATATATATATAATTTCTGTATGCTTAAACTGTAAGAATATATCACATGACTTCTACATTTTTTAAAAGTTTGCTACTTTAGTGTCAGTGTATATTTCATAATTTACTATGCTTTTATTTTATCTAAAATGAGATGCATTTTTAAAAAAATAGTTCAAAGTTAAAATATGGGTATATAAGCACACACATGAATGTAATATTAAGATTTCATTTCTTTGGGGGGAAGCTGCATTTTAATGTAACTGGGATGAAAACCTTATGTTAGGATCCTGAGATTCCCATAGTAGGGGGCCAAGGCTTGGGTGCTCTCCTAGCCTGGGGAGGCCTTCCTTGACAGGCTCTCTCAGCATAACAGTAGGACCCCTGCTTCCCTAGGGACAGGCTTTCTTCTTTCCAG